AAATAGTTTATGTAAATTAGAACATAATAAGAATTACTTTAGAACGTACACATGCAACTTGAAACATATTAAGAATTACTTTATATACATTAGAACACAATCAAAATAACTTAAAATTAGGTTAATTTTCCAAATGATATTAATGTTCCAAATTATACACATGTTCAAAATAGTCATCTCCATATTTGTACAAAAATGTACTATTGTATTGTTTTAAATATTTTTCTAAAGATATATACTTGAGATTTACACAACCATATATCAAAATTTGTTGATCTTTGACCACTTTCTAGCCATCTTCAACACTCTTTTCCGTTCTTCATTTACTTCTGATGTTATAATCTTCCCACAATACTCCACTCGTAACCTTTTCTTTTTCTCAAACTGCACAAAAAATAAAAAAAAATGACTTTAGAACATATACATGTAATTTAGAACATAATCAGAATTACTTTAGAAAAATTACATGTAATTAGAACCTAATCATATATGTCTTGTAGTTTAGAACATTCTAAAAATAGTTGTCTTTGTAGGCATTATATAGTTTTAACTCTTTACAAGATTCATTCAAGTCTAATGCATTTAAAGGTCGTTCTACCTACAGTTAATGGTAAGAGCGTATAAACCAAATTACAAAAAAAGTACTCAACACAGGATCCTAATGTTATACTTGATACGAATTCAAAATCACAGTTATGCCAAGCTCATATAGTCATGTGTATGTTGAATTTTAGAGTACAATATTAGGTTAATGTTACAAATTAGGTTAATGTTCAAAATATACATGTAATTTAGAACATGTTCAAAATAGTCATCTCCATATTTAGAACATATACATGTAATTTAGAACATAATCAGAATTACTTTAAAACATTGACATGTAATTAGAACCTAATCATATATGTCTTGTACTTACATTATCCTTCTCTAGTCCTGAATTCCATTGTTTTTGACATTGGCCTTCATAGGTTTCCATGTGCTTCAACAGAAATACTCCACAATCATGTTTATTTGCGTTGCTTTTCCATTTCATCTCAACATTTCTTGTTTCATAGGTAGAAATAATGACACTCTTATTATCAATTTCTTCATAAAATTCATCACCAAATACTTCCAATTAAAAAATTAATAATATAATTAGAACATAATTAGAATTAGAAATCATACATGTAATTTATAACATAATTAGAAATACTTTAGAACATTGACATGTAATTTAGAACTCAATTACAATTATTTTAAAATATAGATATATAATTTAGGACATCATTAGAAATAGTTTATAACATTGATATGTAAATTATAACATAGATATAAAACTTAGAACATTATTAGAAATACTTTAGAATATATACATGTAACTTAGAATATAATCAAAATTACTTTGGAACATAGACAAGTAATTTAGAACATAGATATGTAAATTAGAACATATTTAGAATAACTTAAAATTAGGTCAATGTTCCAATTAAGGTTAATGTAGAACATTGATATGATTTATAATTTAGAACATTATTAGAAATACTTTAGAATATGGACATGTAACTTAGAACATAATCAGAATTACTTTAGAACATAGACTAGTAATTTAGAACATAGATATGTACATTAGAACATAATAAGAATAACTTAAAATTATGTTAATGTTCCAAATAAGGTTATTGTTCCATATGATATCAATGTTCCAAAATTTCTTTATAGCATAGTAAAAAAATTATAATTAACTAAGTCAAAACTTTACACCTTACCATCTTTGTAAAATCATCTCCATATTTGTCTTCAACCGAGACATTTGGTGAAAGAATCATGTTATCAATAGCATCGAGAGTACCTTCCATAAAGTTGAAGCACAACAAATAATATATAGTGATCCGGTAAAACAGCCGGAAAGTAAACCTACGTTTAAAACATAATCAGATACTTTAGAACATAAACAAACATGTGTTTAAAACATAATCAGATACTTTAGAACATAAATAAAAAATAAATAGAACACTATATAAAGAAAAAAAAAGTTACCAATTGAAAGTTGTTAAATGTTGTTACTTCGGCATTTTGTCATTTCTTTTCTCATTTGATGAAACAAAGCTTTCTTTCTATCTTCCCAACTTTCAGTATTTTTGATGTATTTTTTAGTACAAAGAATGAGCTGGAAAAAAAAAGAAATTAAAACTTAAGTAATTAGAACATTGACATATAAATAAAACATAGACATGTAATTTAGAACAAAATTAGAAATACTTTAGAACATTGACATGTGATTTAGAACTAAATCATAACTACTTTAGAACATCATTTGAAATACTTTAGAACATTGATATGTAAATTAAAACATCATCAGAATTACTTTAGAAAATAGACACATAAGTTAGAACATAAATTTCTTTATAGCATGATAAGAAAATAATAATTAACCAAGTAATTTAGAAATAAACTCTTTAGAACATAATTAAAAATAAACTCTTTAGAACATAACCAAAATTACTTTAGAACATAGATATGTAATTTAGAAAATAATCAAAAATATTTTAGAATATTGACATGTAATTTAGAATATAATCAGAATTACTTTTGAACATAGTCATATAATAGCATGATAAAAAAATAAAAAAAAAAATTAATTAACTAAGTCAATTCTTAACACCAAAACCTTCTTTACCAAATTAAACCACAAAAAATAATCATATGTGTCTTGTATAATCTATATGGTAAGATAATTAGAACATACATATCATTCAGTAGAGAAAAAAAATCTACTCTTCGTGTCTACACCACGCCTTTTATTTTCACAATTTAATATGAAAGCAAAAGCATCTGCAATGTTGTTGAACATGTGACTACATCCTGAAAGACTATCCATCTCATCTCTCCTAATCACCTATTGCCGCTTTGTCAGCATACAAAAGTTCCCTAAAATGAGAACAAAAACTATATTAAATCAAAACAACATTTTGAACATAAACATAATAATTTAGAACATAAGCATGTAATTTTAAACATCAGCATAGTGCTTTAGAACTAAATTTTAGAACATGGTCAAGTAATTTAGAACATGACCAGAAAATTTTTAGAACATAAACTATATTAATCAAAACAAAATTTTAAACATTAGCATAATAGTTTAGAACCTAAGCACGTAATTTTGAACATAAATATACAACTTTAGAACATAAACTTGTAACATTTAGAACATTTACTTAGAAAAAATATAACCATCAATATTGAATTTGATTAGAAGACGAAGATGGGAATTTCAAACATGTACTTTAGAACATAAGCTTCTACCTTAGAAGATAAATACAATGTTTAGAACATAAGTATATACTTCCTCTGTTCTTTTTTACTTGACCTGTTTCTTTTATCACGCTTGCCAATGCAAAACTGAAGGTTCAATGGGCACTCAAGAGGGGGGGGGGTGAATTGAGTGTTAAGTAATCGTTGGCTAATTTTGCTTCTTTTCGGATTATGTGTGAGGAACCAGTTGTGCTGGTTCCCGTACGCAGCGGAATATAAATAAGCAATAAAGAAGACAACAAATTTAACGAAATAAAACAAAGCAATAAAGAACACAACAAATTTAACGAGGTTCAGCCAACTCAGGCCTACGTCCTCCTATCCTAAGTTCTTTATTAATCTACTCCGAAAAACAAAGACAAAGAACACTCTGCTGTTCCCTACTCCGGGAACCAGCAAACCCCACACTCTACTCCGAGTGTGCTCTCGACTTACACTCGTAAGCCCAATGTGTTTGAACTCACAAACACTCACCCAGCCTTTAACCCCTTTGTTAAAGACTCAATACAAAAATCAAGAACTCCCCTTTGATCTCACTTCTACGAAGCTAATTGAGAGAAAATATTTAAGTACTAGAATGCTCTTGTATATGACTTGATGAATGGGATTAGTGCTTAAGTATATGCTCTCAAATAATTGCTCTTTTTTTTTGGAGAGGCACACGAAATATGTGAAATAAGATGAGTTTATATAAGCTTAGATTCCTAAAACCTAGTTTCCTTAAATCACACAATCTTAGAGAATAAGATATAATGTAATTTTAGGAAAGTTTTTATCTTATTTGATTTAATCACAAAGATAGAATCAATTAAGATAAATACTCCTAGTTTTTAGGTAACCAAGAATATTTCATCTTATTTCCAGCTGCACAAAATATTTTCAAAATAATCTTTTCGAAAAAATCTTTTTGTAAAATCTTTTTCCAAAACAGCAGCTCGAATATTTCGTACAGTGAACCTGGTTCCCCGACCTGGTTCCCTGAATTGAAACATGTTATGAAACCTGTTCCAACTCTGTACCAGATTTCATATCATACTTCAATATACTTTTAAGCACTTATATAACCCAAACATGCAAGCATACTACGGAGCATATTACATGAAAACCTAGATAACATATTAAAGCATAAATCGTCTTTTCTTCATGTAATCTTCAAGACTTGAATCTTCCTTGAATACTTCTATTATGAGCAAACAATCTTTCTTCGAAATATCTTCGAAAGGCTTCTATGCTCCAAGTCTTGGAATCAACTCAACTACTGCACATGTAACATGGTTAATGCACAATAAAGAGTATGTGACTACTTTTCCGCATAGCAGTCAAGGAAACGGTTCATACTGGTTCCCCACCAGTACATAGCACATTTATCATCTAACTGGTTCCTGTATATAGATAAGTTAGTTCAATAGATAACTCATATAGTCAATAACTTATCTAGGGAAACAGTGTTCTATTATAGCTGGTTCCAACCAACTGTTTTCAACACTTATTAAAACCTGTTTCCCATAGCTGTTTGTCATCATTCAAAACCATCATTCAAAACCTAAGGGACTCAACAAAAACTTTATTGATCAATAACTTAAATTCTCCATAAGTAAAAATTATAAAAGTTATATATTTATTATAGTACTTATTGAGACAAATCCCAAAAGATCATACATGTATATATTTTTCCTTACATATTATTCACAAAAGACGGTCAAAGGAGGGGTGGTGAATAATGTAAAAGTCAAAGCGGGTCAAGTAATAAAGAACGGAGGAAGTATATTTTATGACATAATCACATACTTTTATTATAAGCATATAAATATAGATGGATGAAATCTTACGCGTTATCTCCTTGAGCAAAAACATACTCAGCTATCATTTTATGATCTACATTGTTGAAGAGTTTTTCATGATTAACCATAAAAGGCAAACGCAAGTACATTGGAAGCTTATCCTTTCCTCTTTTTTTCCTTGTTTCTTCTTCTTCTTCTTCTTCTTCTTCTTCTTCTTCTTCTTCTTCTTCTTCTTCTTCTTCTTGTTTTTCTTCTTGCTTCCTATTCAATTGAATAAAATAAACAATCAACAACTAAAATCAAATAAGTTGTTCTTTTCTTCAACATGCTTCTTCTTTTCTTTTTTGGTTTTTTTTGTCCTATGCTTCTTCATTCAATGTAGGTGGATGATCTAGATTCAAAAAATTTAGAACATCAAAAAGAACTTTTGACATAATAAACATTATAAATTTCCAATATACATACAAGAAAAATAAAGTTAAAATAAGTCAAACTTACCAACTATTGGTGAGGGCGACAACAAATTGAAGCTTGGAGGAGAAATATCTTTATGCATCTTTTTTAGAGGAATTGGTGTCTTTGGTGTGTCGTTATTCCTTTCCGTTTTCTTCTTTGTTGTACGCAAGAAAATTTTAAGCTTATTCTTTTGTCTAAACAAAATCAAAATTACTTTAGAACATGGGCAAGTAATTTAGAACATAATAAGAAATACTTTAGAACATAAACATAAATACTTTATAACATATTAGAAATACTAATAACAAACCCAAATCAAAACCAATATATTTAACTAGAACACACAAACCATTAATTCTATATTAAAGTTTTATTAAATCATCCAACATATGTTCTAAACCAAAATCAATGTTTTAAATATTCCTATTATTAAGTTACATTGATTACCCTTTCTTTGCTTCAACTTTCTTTTTTTCCTCTTTTTTCTCCTTCCTTCTCCCCTCTTGTCTTTCTCCTTCTTGCTCCTCTTGTCTTTCTCCTTCCTTCTCCTCTTGTCTTTCTCCTTCATTCGCCTCTTGTCTTTCTTCTTGATTATCCTCTTGTCCTTGTTCTTGTTTCTCTTCTTGTTCTTGAGAACATAAGGGAAAACTATAGAATATAAAGGAAAAATATAATAGAACATAATAGAAAACTTTAGAATATAATATAAAACTTTAGATCATAATAGAAATACTTTAGAACATAATAGAAATACTTTAGAACATAATAGAAAATTAAACATAATATACGAATATTCTATTTAATTTTTTTTAGTACTTTTCCTTTTTTTCAAATCAATTGATTCAAAGAACATTAATAAGAAATGAGTTTGGAAATAATTGAAAATTACCAACTATAGGTGAAGAGATACTATCATCTATCCTCTCATCGTTGTTCTTTTCTCTTTCTCCTTCCTTTGATGGCAAAACTTCATAATAATTACAAGACGTAATTTTAGAACATCACTATATCATAAAGATTTGAGTTGGAACATAAACACTTGATTTAATAGCATAATTTAGGACATAAGTATAATGTAGAAATTAAACATGTAATTATCATGTCCCAATGTCTTTGGTGACTTTTCATCATTGAATTTCTTCCATGCTATGTTCATTAACATATCCAATTTTTCTATGAATGCCGGCTCATCGAAGACATGTTGATCTTGACTAAGTATGGAAGGACTTTTTTCTTGTTGCTTTTCTTCTTCTTGATTTACCAATGACTATATATAAGAATACATAAGTTAGAGTCCAATAAGGCATTTATATATGTTGAACTATTATAAATATAAAAATTACACTTTAGAACATAGGCTAAAAATAGTTTAGAACATGATTATAATACCTTTGTGGTATACTTGCACCAAATGTTGTCTATAAGATGATGCATTTTCCCAGTTGTTTCTTCCTTAACAAAGAGATCTTTTGCTTGGTCCAACATGATATACATCTCTTTCACATTCGATGCAAGACTTTTTGCCAAATCTCCAAATTTGCTTAAAAAGCCCTAATAATTTAGAACATAAAATAATGAATATTTAAAACATTATAGAAATAAGTAAATAAATTAATTAAAAAAATATTAAAACATTATACCATCATGTCATTTGGAGACGTTATAGAATTACAAGCCATTGATTGGTTTTCCTTAACTTTCTCCTTTCCTTTGTCTTTCCTTTGTTTTTTCTATTATTTTCTTCTCCCCTTGTTTTTCTCTAATTGTCAAGGGTTGCTCTTTCTTCTTACCTTTGTCATTCCCTTTCCTTTTTTCCAATCCCTTTTTAAATATAAATTATTTAGAATATTACATGCATAAATATAATGTATAGATAAATATAAAACGATAATTACCATTGATGGACCTTTAAAACACATACAATAAACTTTAGAACATATATTATAAAGTTTAAAACATAAGCATATACAAAAATCATACCACATTCAATTTCATTCTTTCTAGTACTTTTCCTTTTCAAAATCCAAGGTCTTTCTCTAACTTCAATCTTGTATGAAACCTTTCTTGGTTCCGCAATGATATTAGTGGAACTTCACGTGTTATCTCTAACCCCTTCCTTTGTACCCGATCAAAATAGGATACCTACAAGAACATCATTAGAAATACTTTAGAACATTGATATGTAAATTAGAACATAGATATATCATTTAGAACATCATTAGAAATTACCATAAGAAAGATTAAAGGACCCGTGAAGAAAGATTCTCCATCTAGCCATTTTTTAGTAGTTTCCATCAAGTGCTCCTTAACAAATTTGCACCAATCCAACTTAACTATATTCTTCGTATCCTTGCAACTATACAAAAACTTAACGTATAGTTGGTTGCTATTAGTTGAACGGATGCAACTATTAATCACACAAACCAAAAAATTCCAAATGAATTCATCCGAAACTTGTTTTTGTTCTTTATCTACCTCTTTCACCTTTTGGATCCTACTAATCAATTGTGCATTTGTTGAAGCACCCTGTAAGTAATTTAGAACATGGACAAGTAATTTAGAACATAATCAAAAATACTTTAGAACATAATCAGAAATACTTTAGAACATAATCAAAAATACTTTTGAACATAATCAGAATTACTTTAGAACATAAGCAAAAATACTTTAGAAATTAAGCAGAAATACTTTAGAACATAAGTAGAAATACTTTAGAACATTATTAAAATAAATTATAACATAAGCCAAATAACAAGTTTAGAATACAAGCACACATAAAAATAAGTTTTTTCTCCATTTTTGCATAAAGTTTGCACATTCATTCTTGTTTTCTATTGTATCAAGAATTGCTATATCTCCCATTGGCAATCTATATGTCATGTGAACATCAATTTCATCAAAGAGTATTTCTTCTTCTCTCCTCGGTAGCATCAAGCAACATCTTTTGGGATCAAACTTCGTAAGAAGTTGTTTTGTCAACCTAGATTTAAATTAAAGGTTTAGAATAAAAAATACATATAGATTATAATTTAAATAAAAATAGAAATTAACATAATTAAACTTTAGAACATTAATTAGAACTTTATAAGAATTAGAACATAATAGTTGATATTTAAATAATAAAAACAAAAAATAAAAGTTAATGCTAGTGCTTACCAAGAATCCGCATAATGTGGTGCATCCAATTTCAAAAAAGCTCCAAATCCAATTTTCTTAATTGCTTGTTTATGCTTATCAGAAAGACCTACCAACACTTGTTTCATCAATTCCTTAGCAGTAACTCTTTGATAAGCTGATCTCTTATTTTTTTTTTCTCTTTGATTATTTTGACATCCTCATCATCCTTTTCTTTTTCAATCTTTCTTTTCATATTTTTTTTCAAAACCACCTGAAAAAAGTAGAACATTAGAAAGAATTTTAACATAATAAAAACATAAACTTTAGAACATCAGCATATAGTTTAAAATACATGTATTTTAAAGCATGAACTTTAGAACATCAGCATAAAGATTTGAATTAGTAGATAAATTATTGTTATAAAAAATAAAGTTTAGAACATATGTATATAATTAAAACATCAACTTGGAAATGTAAGCATGTAACTTACAAAAATCATTTACTTATTAATTAAATCATTTAATTTAGAACACAAGAATGAATGTATTAGAACATATATATATAATTAATAAAGTTACATATTAATTAAATCATTAACTTTAGAACATAAGCATGAATATATAAAATATAAACATGAAATTTATGACATTAGCATATAATTTAAAACATAAACAAATAATTTAGAACCTTTTTTACTATCATCGTTCACATCATCTCTTTATCATCTTTCTCCTCCAACTTTGGTCCATCCATCTCATCATTAATATCATGTTTATCATCATCGTCATCATCTTCTTCTTCCTTTTTTTTTTTTCATTTTTCTAGTTGGTTGAATCGTTGATGAAAGCTTGACACTTTTTTTTTTTTTTTTTTTTTTTTTTTTCCGTTTTTGACTTTGCATATGTTTCTCAAATTCAGCTTTGTCAATTACTTCCGCTTCATTTTCAACAAATTTCTTTTAAAATCAAATATAAATGATTTAGAACATATATGATATCTTTAAAATATAATAAAAAATACTTTAAAACATTGACATGTATTATAAATAATTTCAAAAATATATGATAATCTTTAGAACATAATAGAAAACTTTATATCATAATAGAAATACTTTAGAACATAATAAAAAATCTTAGAACATAATAGAAATACTTTAGAACATAAGGGAAAACTTCAGAACATAAGGGAAAAATATAATAAAACATAATAGAAAACTTTAGATCATAATAGAAATACTTTAGAACATAATAGAAAATCTTAGAACATAATAGAAATACTTTAGAACATAAGGGAAAACTTTAGAACATAATAAAAAACTTTAGAACATAATAGAAAACTTTAGATCATAATAGGATTACTTTAGATCATAATAGAAATACTTTAGATCATAATAGAAATACTTTAGAACATAATAGAAAATCTTAGAACATAATAGAAATACTTTAGAACAAAAGGGAAAACTTTAGAACATAAGGGAAAACTTTAGAACATAAGGGAAAAATAATACATAAACTTTAATTACCTTTTTCTTCCATAAGTAATTTTTTCATCTGGTATAATAGTAATTTCTTCTTCTGATTTTTCTTCATTTTGGCCTTGCATTTTGCTGCAATTTTAAAAAATAAAAAAATTAGTAACATTCCAACATTAGTATATATTTTAAACATAAGAATAGTTTAGAGCATGCAAAAAATAGTTTAGAACATGCTGAAAATAGTTGTCTTTGTAGGCATTATATAGTTTTAACTCTTTAAGAGATTCATTCAAGTCCAATGCATTTAAAGATCTTTCTACCTACAATTAATGGTAAGAGCATACAAACCAAACTACAAAAAAAGTATTCTACACAGGATCCTAATGATATACTTGATACGAATTCAAAATCACAGTTATACCAAGCTCATATAGTCATGTGTATGTTGAAGTTTAGAGTACAATGTACAAGGAAACTACCATAAGATGCTAAGTATGTACCAGATACTTTTTAATAAAATCATTTGCCCAACAATTGGACTTCAAAATATTCAACTAATGGTATAAAAGGAAAGGAGGATATGTAGAAGAGAAATAAGATATTAGACATTTACAATCAAAACTAATAGAAACTAGAAACGCAACTAACAATTAGGGAGGGAGACATAGTATGTAACTTTTATCCTAAAAATTGCCACTGCAGGGACATTAAGTCTCAATTTAGTTGCATGCCAAATAAATTTTCAATGAAAGCAATACCTATACTTTCATCAATTCCTATGATCAATTATACTCCGTATTTCAAAAGGAAAAGACTTCATTTATAAGAATAACACAAAAGGAAAAGACTTCATTTATAAGAATAACTGAAACTTCCATCACCTATGAAAGCAAAGACCCTCTAATTGGGAACAGCTTGTGTATAATCAAGAGTAGCGCCAACCAACAACCCAATAGATCATGAAATTTCTATCACTAACAATTAAGAACACAACAAGAGCGTATAACTAATTTAGAACATGCTGAAACCGAGTTTAGAACATGCTGAAAACAAGTTTAGAACATGCTTAAAAATAGTTTAGAACACGCTAAGCTTATTTACATAATTACTTGCAAAAAATAATAGACACATCACATTTTGTATTGCTAAAAGAGTTCGATTCTACAGAACACTACAAAATTTAAATCACAGCAACAAAAAAAAAATACAAAAACCTCAATCTCATACTATTGACATCAACTTCAGTTTCAGCTACAGCAGTAATCGACCCCATAGCCTACAAACCACCATTATTAAGCAAAAATATGTCAAAAAAATCATGAAATTGAGCAGATTAATTCACATAAAAGTGGGAAAAATGGAGGAAATAGAAAAAGACCGTTTGAACACGAGAAGAATCAAGCTGACGATCTTCGACTCGATCAGTAAGCTTATCGAAAGCTTTACTTTGCTGTTGCACAAGTAATCAAACATAAATAAAGCTAACATGAATAAATCTATAATGAGCATTAAAAATGTCAAAAACAGACACAGAGGATAACATATAGATCAGAGAATAATAACTTTTGAGTTATAAACAAATAAAATCCTAATGAGAGGGCCTATATTTGATCATTGCTAAACAGCTCAAAAAGTAGGAGGTAAAGCTCAAAGCCCCAAAGTGTTCTGTGTTTGAGTTGAAAGATAGGGCCAAGCTACTTTGATAGGCTCGTTAGTCAGTACATTAATTACCATAAATGGGTGAGAGGTAGTTAAAATGTTGGAATACCAAAGGCAGTTAATTTTCTAATTTAGAATTAGTGTTTAATTGTACAAAAGTTTAAGCAGAGAAATGGTAACACAATAGGCACTTGTACAAGGGGTTTTTAAGTTCTTTCTAATCTCTCCAACTGATATGAAGCAACCTTAAATTGAAAACTTTGGGTCCTATCCAAGACTTGCAAGTGATCCAAACCATAACTAAACCATAACTAACCTCATCCACCTGTTTAAGGGGTCTATATGTAGCACCATATGAACCACAGAAGCCAGTAAAAGTGATTCTAAAGCAAAATCACAGGACTACAGAACACAACAGAATTCATCAACACTCATTTTAAGATACATATAGCAGTTCAAGGTGCAATGGTACGCACAACTCACTTCCTAAGATAATCCAAACTAACTTTAATCGAGATCAGCATAAATCAAACAATGAAATTCATAAATAAAAATAAAGAAAATCGAAAACTGATGAAATCGAAAAATAATTTGAACATAAATAAAAAAAAATCGAACAAAAAAAAAAAAAAATCAAAAACTGATGAAATCGGAAAAAAAAAATGTCGAAGTGATGATTTATGATCTAAGAAATCGGAAAAAATCGAACATAAATCAAACAATGAAATTCATATAAAAAATCGAACATAAATCAAACATGAACAAAACGAACAAAATTGAGTATAGAATTCGCAAAAATCGAACAAAATCACCAACGAAAATCGAACAAAATCAACCTTAAAATCGAACAAAATCAACCATAAAAACGCCGAAAATTATTGAAAATCATATCAGAAATGCATGAGAATCATGAGAAATTCATAAAATTAGAACAAAATCGAAGAAAACGTACTTGATTTGAGCAATTTAGGTTGTTTTTGCAGCAATTTGGGCTAGATTTTGGGATTTGTGGAGAGAGAAAGTAAAGATGATTGAAAGTTTGAGGAGAGAGAAAATTTTGTACGGTTTGGTAGGGTTTAGGGGTAGGTTTTTTTGTTTTAATCTGATCGCTCATCCTAATTTAATCCTAATGAGATTGGTTCTTATATAACTAAGATTCTTATATAAAGAGGGTTCTTACCGAATCCCTCCCATATATATACGTAATATATATATATATATATAGGAACCGGTTATAATGAGAACAAATTCTATATATAATAAGAACTAGGAACTAATCTGGACTATCATATCTAACACAAAAAGCGCGCGATCTAATAACGTAGATTAATAAGATGAATTAAATGAGTTTCACAGAGTTCTAAGACTTTTAACCGCAAATTCTCTCTCCCCTGCCATTTTCTCTCTCCTCGAACATTATTCAAGCTTCCTCAATTCAATCAATAGTTCCAATATCAGAAAAAGTTGCTCCAATATCAGAAAAAGTTGCTACAATTCACATACTTCTTCAATATTGTGCTGAATCAGTTGCAAAATTTCTCGACGATAGAGGTAAGCATTGTCAATTTCGTATAAATCGTTATTTAGGGTATAATACTTAATTCGTCTAATCAGCTTATATATCCTTCTAATTTGCAGCATATATTTGCAAATTCGTCAACAATTTGGTGCGTTTTTCAGTTTAGCTTAATGATTATAAATTTCTTTTATGGTGAATTTCGAAGCTATCAATGGATCATCGTTAATTATTATGTCAATTTAGGGTTCATTGTAGTGAAATTTGAGCTTTGATTTACAATTTCTGATTTTATGAATGGTTGTAGTGATTGATTTTTTTTTTTTTCTAAAATTCCTTAAAAAAAAAAAAAATATATATATATATATCTTAAAGCACTGATATAGCAGAGTCTTTGAAATTTTGAGTGGTGTAGGCTTGCTAGCTCGTTGGATTGTGCAAGTTGGCTTGTTTTGGGTTATAGTTTGTTTAGCTATACTTTGTCCTTATCAATTATAAATGCCTTGCTTTCAAAGTAAACTTATCATAATTTGGCTTATAGTTTGTTAACTAGCTTGTCAGATGCATGTACCAAGTTATTCATGTCATTTATTTTTGGGATTTTGTATTGTAGTAATTGTGAAATTTTATAGCTTCAAAATTTGAAGTAAAAGAAAAACACTCAAAAGAAAATAATAAACACTAAAAGGAAAATGAAAATACTCATAGTCCTTACTGATGAAATAGGACTTGCTCTCTCTTTTGATGTCACAATAATAATAAAATAAAAAGAACCATTTTTTGTGTTTTTTTTTTCAATGTAGCTAGTCTTGCTTTGTTCCCTTTTTATATGTTTATTTTAGCCATGTATCTTGATGCTAATTAGACTCATCATTGTATAAATTTCTTTTGGGGGATCATATATTCATATATATGTTGTTTGTTGATGATGATTAGAAGTCTTAAACACACTTGATGTTTCAATCCGAGGTCTATTTCATTAGAAATTTCAATTTAATTATTATGTATACATCTCATAAAAGTAAACTAAATCTCTTTAAAAATAAACTAAACCTCTCTTAAAGTAAACTAATGCCAACAATGAGGACTTTTTGTTGTTTGTGTCTTTGGAGTGGGTGTGTGCTCATATCGAACCTCTGTTATGTTTAATGGGACATGGTAGAGCCGGGATATTGGTCTCACTCTAAAGTAAATAGAAAAGAATATAAAATAAATTAAGGACTTTATAGCTTGTTTGGATGGAGAGAAATGTAGGGAAGCTAAGGGGAGGGAAAGGAAGGGATGAGTTTTCCTCCATTTGGATAGAAAAAATGGGAGGTGAAGGAATTGGGAGGAAGAGAAATAGAAGGAAATTATTTCCTTCCATAATTAAGAAACAAATCTTTCCAAATCAGAGAAGATTTGGAAGGAAAACTGAACCAATCTCACTACTGTTTGTCGCCTCCACCAACCACAATCCATAGGCCACGCCAATACGCCATTTTCACCACCATGTTCACCGCATCAATTGCCGTCATATCCAAACTTTTCTTCTTCTGAACCAATCTTTCCAAATTTTGTTTTCTGAAATTGATTTCAATGTATAACAATTTCAAATGTTGAGATATAAAATTTCTAGTTTTGATTTACAAACGTTGATTTTTCATGAAATTTAGTTCTTATTTTCATGAATCAAGTTCAGAAAATTAAGTTATGGTTCTTCACAAATTGATTTTTTGGAAAATAAAAGGATTTTTGATATTACAAAAATGAATTTTTTTTTACTTTCGAAAATCAATTTTGTTTTAATTTTCAAAAATCAATTTTCAGGAATCAATTTTCTGAAAAATTCATTGGAAATCGGGTAAATGATTTCTGGAATTTTTTTACTTTGGAAAATTTATTGGTAAGAATTTATATTTCCAGAATTTTATATTTTGAAATTTTGATATGTGAATTATTGATTTTTAAAAATTGAATGGGAGAAATTCACAAGAACAAGCAAATTCTCTCACTCTCTCTTCTTTTCTTTTCTCTGTTATCCAAATGAGGGATTTTGTTTCCTTCACCCCTCCCCTTCCTTCACCTCCCCTTCCTTCATCTTCCTTCCCCTCCTTTTCCTTCCAAAAGTTCTATCCAAATACAGCATTAAAGTAAACATATTAGCTCAAGCGGTAGAGCATTATACGGGTTCATAGAGATGTAGGTTTGATTCCTACATAGGTTATCTATAAAAGTAAATATAAAACACTTTAAAGTTATTTAAAATGTCTCAAAGGTAAATATAAATAACTAAATATAAATCAATTTAGCTAAAACATATACGAAAAATTAATTGGATTTTATGATTAATGTCTATGAAAACTTTATTAACTTTCGAATCCGGAAGCAAAGGAAATAAAAAAAAAATCGCACTGCCCCTATAGAGTAGCATTGCACTGGGGGCCAGGCAATCACTTCAGATGGCATTTGATGCTGGTTATAGGAACATCGTGTTAGAATATGATTCATCAAATTGATAAAGCACTTATTTACATCTGATCAAAGCTTTACTTTATCAAAATACATCTGTTTGTGCCCTTATTACCCAGTAAAGCTTGCTAATAAGATAGTGTCTTTAATTTACAAAGACTGTTACTGCTAACACTGATTTTAATAAGCCTGAAGTTATGATGATGGTTATATGAAAGGTAGTATTGTTTTATTCTTCTTTAGTTGAGGACTTGAGGTAATATGTTGTCCTTGATTGTGGCTTGTGGAGAGTAGTTGTCTACCTGTTTGGACTGATGTACGAAGATGGTTTGTAAGTAGGTTGTTTTTGGAAGGGGGAGGCGTTGCTTCAGCTATGCAAGAAGTTGCAACTTATGGTGAACAAAATTTCCTTGTTGTCTGATTAGACTCCCAGTATCCGACATTTCTGTTTTATATGACAATGGTAAACAGGTCTCTAAAAGACAATAGAGCCCCACGGCTGTTTTCGATGGCTTTGATTTAACTGCATATTAAATTCAGGCATTCATTCAATGCTACAAAAAAGCTTCTCTCTTGTGTCTAAGGTGTTAAAAAAAAATAAAAATAAAAATAAACATTGTTAATTCATAATTTTCAAGTTAGAGATGCTAGCTCATCTTCCGATCTTGAGAAATGCTAAATTTGAAGATTCGTAATTGTCAAAACTTTTCTAGTTAATTGCAATATATAACTAAGTTCTAAGAAGATAAGCTCAAACCTATTAGCTCAAGTGGTAGTGTACTATGCAAATGCATAGAGAATGTAGGTTCAATTCCTACATAGGTTGTCTTATAAGTAAATAAAAAACATTCTAATGTAAATCAACTTTCTACAAACTACATCATAATCATGTTAATTCCTACGTAGGTTGTCTGATAAGTAAATAGAAAACAGTCTAATGTAAATCAACAAGTAAATATCTCACAGCTATATGTAGAATTTATTGGTGTGAAACAATGGTTACTATGTTGAAGCAATGAATTATAGATTTAATCCTGTACTTTGTATATAACTTTTGTCTCCTTACTAATAAAAAAAACTCCAAAAGTAAGTAAAAGATTAAAAGTAAATAATTTAATATCCAAAGTAAATTAATATAATAGAAGAGTAAATTAGAAAATAACAAAAGTAGATGTATTATTAATTAACCCAAAGTGATAAATGGTCTTAAAAGAAACGTTAAATCATTGACTTTCAATTGCAAATAAATTGAACCATTATAATCTAATGTACAATCATGAGAATTTGTCAAAAAAAAAAAAATACGAATAAAAGGTCAAGTAAAGGTTTTCATATCCTGTCAAAAAAAAAAATTAAAGGTTTTCATATAAGAAGTAAATAAAACAATATCAAAATTTAATTAAAAAAAAAGTAGGAACTTAATTAAACTCAACTACGAATAAAAGGTCAAGTAAAGTTTTCATATCCTGTCAAAAAAAAAAAAATTAAAGGTTTTCATATAAGAAGTAAATAAAACAATATCAAAATTTAATTAAAAAAAAAGTAGGAACTTAATTAAACTCAACTAAAATCTAATACAATGTTAGTCTTTACAATACACCAAAGAACCTACGTGGGATTCGAACCCATATCTTTTGTACATTTGTACAACGCTCTGGCATTTAAGCTAGTAGGTTAGTATACATCCACTATTCGGTGTAAATGAATGTTAAAAGTAAATAAAAGAATAAACGGTCAAGTTAAGGTTTCCATATAAGAAGTAAATAAAACAATACCAAAAGTAAATAAAAAAATGTAGGAAACTGATTAAACTCAACTAAAATCTAATACAATGTCAATTTTCACAACACACAAAAGAACCTACGTGGGATTCGAACCACAACTTTTGTACATTTGTACAATGCTCTTGCATTTGAGCTAGTAGGCTAGTATACATCCACTATTCGGTGTAAATGAATGTTAAAAGTAAATAAAAAAAAATCAAAAGTAAATAAAAAATTATATAAAATATACATTGTTGCTATGTTGTTTCTCCTGCATCTGAAGTGGATTAGTAAAACCCTAGGAACTTGTTTTTGCGCCATTTTTATAGCTTTTTATTGCATGATGCTCCTTTTTTCATGGCAGAGTGAGAACACCTACATGTAATGTTCTAGACATGAGCACAAACACTAAATACATCATAATTAGAAGGTTAGTTAAGTGATGTTTTAAGCAAGCATACATGGGTAGGTACTAGTTGTTGCTGCTATATGAGGTTGAGCATCAT